GGGATAGGGGTGGCGGGGGGGATGCCGCGCCTCGTTCTTGTGCAGCCAGAGCGTGTCCAGCTCCGAGAGGGCTCCGCTCGAGAGCGTGCGGGCGAGCGCACACGCGCCCGCGTCCGAGATGAGATTTCCGCCGAGGTGGAGGCGGTGGAGCCGGCTCAGCGCGCCCTGCAGGCCGGCGTCGCAGAGGGCCAGCACGCCGCCGTCCCCAATCTTGCTGCGCGGTAGGTACAGCTCCTCGAGCTTCCAGCACGCCCCCGAGGCGAGCGCCTGGGCGAGGGCGCAGACGTGCTCTGTGTCGGCGGCGAGCCGGATCCAGCGCGCCCGCACGAGCAGCCCCAGGCTGGCCGCGATGGCAAATATGCGGACGCTGCCCGTCGAAGGGCCGTCGTGCGGGCGGAGAAGGATCTCCATGCCCTGCACCGCGGCGGGAAGGGGGGGGACGCGTGGTCGGTCGGTCGGCGTGTGCTGTGCGGGCAGGGTGCGCCGGGCGCGTACCTTCTTCCGGGAAATCTGAAAGTGCCGGATCTGAAAGTGCTCGTCGACGCGCTCGCGTACTTCGGCAAAGGTCAAGCCGTGTCTCCGCCCCGCCCACGATTCGGCGCCGGCTCTGCAAGTGCGCGCAAAGGCGTACGCTTGTTTTGGGGGAAGAAATCGGCCGATGTGTACCCACAGCTCCGGGGGGAGGGGCGCGGCTCCACTCGGCGGCGGTGGCCTCGAGCCCGGCGGCCTCGAGGAGAAGACAGGTGAGAGCAGGTGGTTCATCTTGATGACAAAATCGTTACCTTCGGCGGCCGAGTTTGGGGTCCCCCTTAACCGCCGACCCCCGCAATTCACATCTGCTCTCAACACGCAAATTGCATGTTCAAACTGAACACTCTGCTTTAAAAAGCTCTAAGGTGGTGTAGGACCTCCTTGGTCTGTGTTTCACACCCTCACTGTCAGGTGATGAGACGTAAATGCTGTGCTCGCCGCCGCATCCGAGACGCGAGAGGAGATCCCCACCGCCATTCTTCCCTCCAGCCCCACCGCTTCCCCCCCGCCAAGGTAGCCGAGAGGCAGGCTTGCAGTCGCACTCACGATTCACCCTCTCACAGGCCCGGCGCCCACGCCTCGACCACAGGGGCACAGTCACACGACTCCCACTGCGCTCTGCGGCGCCCGCCCCACCCCACCCGACATCCCCACCCCACAACCCAGCCCCACCCCGACCCGAGCAGCCCCGCCCCACCCCGACCGACCCGATCCACCCCGCTTCCGCCTTCCCCGCTCCGCCCCCCCCCCACCGGACAAACCCGTAAAGCCGCACTCGGCTCCGCCCCCCCGCCCGACCCTCACCCGCGGTGCGCCTGCCGCCCGCGCCGCCTCCCCCATGCGCGCCCTCGACGCAGCAATCACCGCACCCAAGACGTACTTGGGCGACTCACACTCCATTGGTGACGTGAACGCGAGCCCGCCCGCTCCCCACACTGTGGCACCACAAAAGAAAAAGATTCAGCGCCCCCGGCCGCGTTACGGGCCGCACCCGAGATGAACCCGGGCGACCCGTACTGTCGGCGGTTGTGACGTGGACGTGGGCTCGCGAGAAAAGAATGGTCAAATACACTGGGAAGGGACTGGCGCGCACTCGTTGTTAGTGCCCGGCGCGAGAAAAGAATTTTACCATATCTCCCACGTGGCGCCGGGGTCACGAGGAACTTGCAAGTTCGAGCAAGTCGTGGCCGAGGCGGCGACGGGGGAGCGGTGCAGAGGTGGATCCAGCTCAATGATGAGGCTACGGCGCGCATATAAATGAAGAGAGAGGAACACATTGAGTGGCTGAGGAAGCTCTTCACTGGGTGGAAAGAGGCTCGGCCGGCCTTGAGGGAGTCGCGGAGGAGGAGGGATAACGGAGGTAACGTGCAGACGGCAACAGCCAGTGGGACGAACGAGGGCCGCGACGGCGGCTCAAGCGGGAGGGAGCGGAGACAGTGGGCAGCGAGCGAAGTGGGTGAGACTGATGATGCTCCTTCGACTTAGGGAGCGGTTCAGCTGCTGGGCGGGCTTCAGGGTGGTGCTCACGCGAAAAGGAATCGACGCGATGTACAATCGTACAAAGCATACAAGAAGGGGAGAAGGAAGAGGAGAGACGCCGGTGATGACCAAGCAGAAACTAGCGCAGACGAGAGCAGGGCAGACCCGGGGACGGCGGAGTCGGAGAAAGGCATCGACCGCCGAGGGAACGTTGGGAAGAGGCACGAGGAGGGCGGCGACCTCGATCGACTATGGAGGACCCGTCGCCAGACGACGCAGGGCAGAAGACGGGGAGGCGGAGCAGACGCGCAGGGCGAGACGAGGGAGGGAGCAGGACTTTGCGGAGATCAGCAGGAGGCTGTACGAAGAGATTAGGAGCAGCAGGGACCGAGGGACCATGTGGAAGACGGCTAGTGCTAGTCCCCCATCGGGAGGACGACCCCGGCTAGTCGCCGACCACACCCACAAAGAACCCTGCACAAAGATCGCAAGGGCGGGGACCTGTTCCTTTTTACCCACCTCACAGTAGAGAGGTGTCCGTTTAGCGTTTTTATTTATTTATTTAAGGGAAGAAAGAAAGAAAGAAAAACCGAGAGAGCACCCAAAGGAGGGTAGGGAGGACGGCACGCCGCCACCACACAGGGATTTCACGCGGGAAGGAAGGAAGGTAATGAAACAGGTGTGTTGCTAGCCGTCGCCCACCCAGCACCCTTGGGCTTGGCCCTTGGGCGCCTGCCTCTTCCTATATACACAACTCTCGCCGATTCTCGCGGCAACCTTCATGCCACCTCGCGGTCGTGATCCCACTCTCGTCGTTCTCTCTCCTGCCCCGTTGTCCTCGTGCCTCATCGCTCTCTCCTCTGCCTCGTTCTGTGCGACGACTCCGACGCCTGCGCCGATCCCGTGCTCTCGCGGCTTCTGTCGCCTCTCCGGCGCAACTCCGCTCTCCTCGCGGCGTATTTTCAGTGTATGTAGCTCTTACGTACATTCCCGGAGGAGGACTGCTGACAGGGTTTGCGATGAGGAGCGACCCGATGGGTTTCTCGGAGGTTAGTGCACCAACCACTAACCGCCGAAGCGCAAGCGCTGGGAGCAAGAACACTACGACCTGGGTCGGGCTCATACTAGCACCCCACCTCGCGAGCCGACGTTCTGGCTCAGCGAGGTTTTGTTGGCCGCGACGGATAATTCTTTTTCGGATTCTTGGTCGGGATGCAGGACCAGCGCGCGAAGAGTGACCCACTTTGAGAGGTCGCGAAAATCATTTTGATCGCGGATCTGTAATTCTTCTTTTCCGCGTTCTTTTTCGGATTCTCTGGGGGATGCAGCGGCCGGCGCGAAGAGTGAGAGTGGGCGACTTCGTGACAAGCTTCCTCTGCTCGATGAGAGAATCTGACCAGTCTCCCGACGTCTCCGAGCCCACCCAGCAATCCGCCGAATACTGGGCCGACGCGCCTCTATACGGGAGCAGCCTCGTCGCCGCTTTCGAGGCCCGGGCAGCGGAGCTCGGAAACGAGCGCCTCTACACGTGGCTGAGAGCCAACCTGTCCGAGGAGGCGACTCTGAGCTACGCTGAGCTGCGCAGCCGCGCCCTCTCCGTCTGCGTGGCTCTGCGCCGCACCTGGGGCGTGCCACAGCAGGGACGAGCCATGCTCATCTACCCGCCCGGCCTGGTGCGGCGGCTCCCCAGCCCGGCTGAGCCCACCCAGTCTAGAGCCGACGCTCGATTTGCACCGTCCCAGCGGCCACTCAGGCTCCTCCCTCCGTCCCGCGCCGCAGGAGCTGCTCGTCGCCTTCTTCGGCTGCAACTATGCCGCCGTCATCGCCGTGCCGTACTACCC